CCAGCCAGGAGAGCCAGCCGCAAAAGCATGGCTTCTAAAGCCAGACCGCCTTTACATTCTGCCACTTACCAGCTTTGTGACCCTTGGACAAACTGACTTTACCTGTTAGATTCTGAAACTATCACAAGGCCAAAAGGGAGGCCAGAGGAAGGCCCAGTAACCTCGAGGAGGACACTGAAGAAATCAAAGGCTAGCTTTGCCCAGTCTGTAGTGTACCAAGGCCACTGCTCAGACATACTTTCCCTTGATAAAAACAAAATCCGACCTATGACTTAAATGTTCTGCTTTTGCTACTGGGAAAGGCAAAGATCCAACTGTGATACAATGTTGGCACAAGAAAAAGCAACAGATAGAAAGTATAGCTAGCAATGAGGAAGAACACAGAGAAGGAATTCTAGGGAAGACTACAGGACTCCTATGTCCTTCAGGACAAATGCCTGAGCCCTAGACTGTACTGGGTGTTGTCTGGAAGAACCAGACATGGTGAACACCCCAGGTAAGACAGGTTCCTCCTGTTCTTTGGGTGGTGAATATAAATACACTTCTTAAAGTCTATAGTATCATTCTTTGAACTCCAAGAGAGTCTTCCCAACCAAGACCTTCTGAACTATGTGAAGAACGCCCCTTCAGGAAAGCAAACAGACTTAATGACCTCATTCCTGGCTCCCTTCCTCCCAGGTAAGGTTTTCTGCCCTTCCCTCTGTGTCAAGAGGTAGAGATAGGACCCGAGGTTGAAAAACACATAACAACTATCTCAAATGACTCAGATTTAATCATCGGAAGCAAACTAAATGGAAAGCTTACAATAGAGAAGAATTACATGTCAGTGTCTTTTGCAAACTGAGCTGGGACAGAAAGGGACTGGGCTGCCCCTCAACCTGAACCCTTCCAAACAAAGACGTCCAGTGTCCCTGGCACTCTGGCCCAGGGAAGGGGAGACTGCTGCTTCTGTGAGCTGAAGTCGTCCAGCCCACCACTCACTCCTGGCCCGCATCAGGGGCCCCACCTTGCCGGCTCTGGTCATCACCCTTCTTTTTGTGGCCTGAGACAATGTCATCAATCCGCAGCAGCAGCACTGCCATCTCCACTGCTGTCTTATATGTCTGCAGCTTCACAGCCAATGGCTCCCATATGCCCAGTTCCTTCATGTCCACCAAAGTGCCCGTTTCTCCATTTACTCCCCAGGTCTCACAGTTCTCCTGGGTGTGCTTGGCCCGGAGGGAGGTAAGAAGATGGATGGTGTTGGCCCCGCAGTTCTGGATCAGGGTACGAGGGATGACCTCGAGGGCTTGGGCAACAGCCCGGTACGACAAAACTGTTCCACACCAGTCATGGCCTCTGGCTGTGACATTGGCCCGCATGAGGTAGTGCTGAGCTAAATCTGCAAATCCGAGAGCAGAGGTGCGAGTCAAGCTGGATGCCAGAACTCTGGGCTGTAAGCTGGTTCTACCATCACACATCTGTTATGCTATGCTGGTATGAAGGGGAGAGAGGAGAGCGCCTACCCGAAATGCCCTTTTCTGTGATGACCACGTCAGGCTTCAGTTGGATAATGTCCTCACAGAGCTGCTGGATATACTCTTCTTCCATCTGGAGGATTCGGGTGAAGTCTTCCTCTCGTGTAATCTCAATGTCAGTCTGGCTTTCTCCTTTCTTGTATTCCAGAGAAGAATCTAGCAGCACAATGCGAGGGTTCTTGATAAAGCGCCGCATTCGTGGGTGGGTCACATCCTTGTTAATCATGACTCCTCGTAAGACACAGGAGTCTTCGATGATGCCCCCAGGTATCTTTTCCACCCTGGCATATTTCTTGATGTCTATCTCCTTCCGACCATTCTCCTCAAACTGTACAGTCCTAACAGCATCCAGCGCAATGTTACAGGCCAAAGAGGACCATCGACTGATTGCTTTGGTGGTAATGGAGCTGTTGATGATGTTCAGCATTGTATCGCGGTTATTAACGTCCACAGGAGTACTGATTTTCTTTAGGGTGCTGATCATGTCATCCAATGCCTTGCGGTACGCACTGATCACCACTGTTGGGTGCATCTGCTGCTCTAGGAAGTGTTCAGCCACAGACAGCATTTCTCCCGCAAGAATAATTACTGATGTGGTCCCATCTCCAACCTCTTCATCCTGAGTTCAGCTAATTTCAATCATGGATTTGGCTGCTGGATGCTGGACTTGGATCTCTCGAAGAATGGCATTGCCGTCATTGGTCATCACTATGCCTCCCATTGCGTCCAACAGCATCTTCATCATGGACTTGGGTCCCAAACATGTTCTGATGATATCTGCGATAGTCTTGGCAGCATTGATGTTTCCAGACTGAACTTTTCTTCCAGATTCTCGCTTTGTGTTCTGGCTAAGCACGAGCACGGGACATGGCCCATCATGGCGGCAGGATGCAGAGCCGGGAACTCAGAGCAGAGAGAACCGGCAGAAGCTTCTGGAGAGAGAGAACCAGAGAGAGCTCTTCTTTATCTCTTTCCCCCTCTCTGACTTGTGGAAGAAATGGATAAACTTTAAAAAAAAAGAAAAGAAGCTACCACACGATCTAGCAATTCCTCTTTTGTGTTCAAAGGAAAGGAAATCAGCAATTAAAATACATGGTACTGGCCCCAAAAGAGACACATTGGCCCATAGAACAGGACAAAGAGCTCAAAACATAAATGATGACAAACTACCATAAACTGGGTGAGTTATACACAACAGAAATGTATTTCTCAACAGTTCTGGAGGCTGGGAAGTCCAATCTCAAGGTGCTGGCAGATTAGCTTTTGGTGAGAGCCTGCTTTTCACAGACAACTGTCTTCTCACTCTATCCTCACTTCGTAGGAGGAGCTAACAAGCTCTCTGAGGTGTATAAGGGCCCTGATGAAACTCACAAGGGTTCTTCTCCCAGGACGTAATCACCTCCTTTAAGCCTCAATTTGTAATACCAACACCTTGGGGATTAGAATTTCAATATATGAATTTTAAGGGAGCAAGAATGTTCCAATTATAGTGTATCTAATCTTTAAGCATTAATAATTTTTCACTTTCCATGATCTTTTCCCAAGTCGTTTAATGCCTCCAGTACAACCATCCAATTCCAGTTTTCTTAGGACTGTTATTCCCCCACATTGGCTAAGTGCCTGAGCATTGTAGCTGCTAGTGCATTTACCTCACCAGTTTACCACCCACCAGGTTACAGCAGGTGAAGGTATTAAAAACCTACAGCCTGCCAGAGGCTGAGCACGCTCCCCCTAGGATCAGTCATATGTGCTCATTGCCTGGCAGGTTAATCAGTTACATAATTCCTTTTTAATACCTGTTTCTTCAACAATTTCTGGTACTCGCCTTTCCAGGTCAAGTTCCCTGGTAAGTATACCGATAGATTAGCAAGTAGAATGGTAATTCGGGAATGTTTTCAGGATTAACAACTGTTGGTGAAGGGCAGAAAGCAAGGTCAGGCAGAGTGGGTAATTGAACCTGAGGCCAGAACAGCCAGGGCCTCAGTGAGTCCACAGGAAGCTCCAAAGCTGTGACAACCGTATAGGTTTGACTGGAGTTGGGGAGGTGGGATAGGACATTTTCACTCTTGCCTGAACCAGACCTTGGATACAAGCTGCTCCCAAGAAGGAGAATTACCTTGGGTGAAGGTAATTTCCAGAGGCCCTCAGCTGGTTTCAACAACAGGTTCAATATTTGGGGGAATAAGCACTTCACTCCTGAAGGTGGATCTGGCTTTGGGCACTTGAGTTTCCTTAAAACAGAACTACAACCTCTCTGCCAGCCAATGACTAATAAGATCATCCAGCCAACTTAAAGTGAAAAGTTTGTATAACTTTGGGAAATCTTTGACCAAATTTTAAGGGTCTTTTGTTTGCTTGCTTGTTTTGGCAATGCTAAAGTCAACATAAGCTAGCCATAAGATTTTGATGTGTAGCGGTCATCTTCACATCCAGACTGTGACGTTGGTAGTATGAGGACCTGGTTGCTATTATGCATTTTCTATATATTCTTTATTTTATAAGCACAGGGGTTTTTTGTTTTGTTTTGTTTTATTTATTTATTTATTAATTTTTTAAGTCCCTTACATTGTGTCATCTCAGGCTGTGAGCAAAATCTTGTAAGCACCTTTTCTATTTGATTTTTTTCTCAGTGTTCCAGTACCAGCAAGACCAGAGAATGATTTCTAGCAGGATATTACTCCATTCTCCCCATTTTTTAGACAGAAAAAATGAAAAGGAAGCAAATCTTTAGGAGAAATGTGTATCACCCTCTAGCTATGTAACATCGAAACAGGTGGTTTTGTTGTTATTGGTGTTTTGTTTTTTCTTATAAGTTTGAATGAATCACTCAGGGTGTCCCCATGGCCTAGTGATTAAGGGAGCTGGATTCCCCATGGCTGACCACATGGTTTGAGTTCTGGTCCCCAGCAGCTTGAAAAACACAATGTCCCACATCCCAACAGAGTAGAGAAATGGAGAAGGGATTGCAGTGTGACCACACCCCATGGGGTGGTGCTTTCTCCTTCTATCTTTTTCTCTCTCTCTGTTCCTTTGGCAAGCACATGCACACTCTCGCAATAAAACCTTTAAAAAAAAAAAAAAAACAACAACAAGAAAATGAATCAATTGATTTTTGAGTCTCAGTTCCTTTTAGATAAAAATAATTTAGACAATTGCTAAGGCATCTTCCAGTCATAAAATTCATACTCCCTTCCTCCTACATTCTTTCCTCCTCTGATACTCCCTTTCCCAATACATTTTGGTTCTGCCACATATTAAAATTACACTGGAGTAATCGGCAGTCCTTCACTCTCCCGCCAAGCTTCCTCTCTAAATAGTGCACTGAGAGAGATTTCCCCCACCTCTTCAGTACTCTGGGGTCTATTCACGTTATTCCTACCACTGCACTTGCCACATACCCGAGTTCTCCTTATTTGAGAAAATGACTTTTTAAGTCAGGAAAGTTTATAATAAGATTTAAAGATGATGGAATAAATCAAACTCTAATATTTATAAAGCATAAAAGAATCTGCTGCCCTCTCAGGAAGTGGTGAATAGCTAATCTAACTCTATGATTTTAAACTGTAAAGTTTATTTAACATAAAACTTAAAAATATTTGAGCATTGAAGAAAACTTGACATGCAACATTTATAATTTTATGAATTAGATGAAAAAGTTCACTTAAGCAGTCAGCTTGTTAAAGTTGTGATTTCATCTTTTTTTTTATTATTATCATAATCTTCTTTATATTACATTGGATTACATATAACTTTACATTGACTTCCATTGCTTTTTCAAAAGGGAATGCCATGCATGTCAGTCAATACAGAGGCATCGATCTCCCCGCTTTATCATTCAAAGTCTTTTCCATGCATTTCCCAATAATTATTATTATTATAATTTTTTAAAACAGTCAATCACTATTTCTCATTTTGCTTGTTAAAAGACTTCACCCATCATGAAATACTTCCCAGACCAGTCCAGTTGAGAATACTATACACGTCATCTTCAACAGATAATAAACCATATCTGTTTCTCACTAACATCCCCTCTATTGTTCACTTGCTATCTTTCTCTATCCTCTTCTCTTTTTTTTTTTTATAGTTTATTTTTTTATTATAATTTTTTTTTCCCATCGCAACACACAAATGAATTTTCCATCCAATATATACTGTGCGTTGGCTCAATCAAGCACGTCAACATATATGTTCTCAGCAAATAATTTCCCAATTCTTGTTTCCTGCATACCTTGCCTTTTGTTTTACCATCCTAGATTCCCCATCCCCCTCCCTCTGTTATGACCCATCCTCCTCCCACATTGTCCCTGTCATCCCCGATTGCCCTCCGTGCCTCACCCCTCCCCAAATGATCTGTCAGTGATCTTAATTAGTCTAAGTCTCTCCAATAGTTATCACAGCTGACATGATTTCATCTTTCCAAGCATTTGTAATGCCTAGAAAAAGAAAGAAATATATTAAGATGCTTATTCTAAAACCATTCATTCAACTCACTTATATAAATGAGTCTAATTGTTTATGGGGAGTGACACATTTTTCAATAAGAAAACTTTAATAAAAAAAAAATCAAAATGAAACGACCCACCTCTTTCAATATTGTATAGCTAGAGAGTTATACATATATTTGTACTGTAGATTTACTTCCTTTTAGTTTTTCTGTCTAAAAAATAGGGAGAATGAAGTAAGATACTGCTAGAAATCATTCTCCTGTCTTGCCAGTTCTGGGACACTGGATTCAAAAAGGAAGTAGGGGGAACCAGCAGTTAGCGTAATGGCTATGTCGCTGGACTCCCACATAGTTGACCACGGTTTGCATCCCGGACCCAGTGGCTTAAAACTCAGGCCGGGCGCTTGTGCGTGCGTGCCCAAGACCCCGAGAGGAGAATGGAGGAGAAGGGATTGCGGCGTGACCATCCCCCCTGGGGCGTGATTTCTCGCTTTCTGTCTCTCTGTCTGTCTGGTGAGCACACGCACCCTATAGCGAAAACCTCTCCAAAAAAAAAAAGAAAGGAAGTAGGAAAATTGCTTAGAAGGCTATACGCACAGCATGAGATGATACAAGGTAAGAGATTTTTTAAAAAAGAACAACAACATTAAAAGCTGTGTTTAATATTAGGCTGTCAGAAAAGTCGTGATGCCTTTTTCTATGTTTTTCTATGCAAAAAGGTGTCATGGCTTTCCCGACGACCCCCTCATTGAAGCAGGTACAGAGAACTCACAACAACCAGCTCCTCATTTTGCCTTTAATAAAATGCCACACCACATCGTCAACCTCACAGGCTGGATATGAGGATGATGGCTACAGGTCAAAGTCTTATGGCTTATCCTAAGGTACCAGGACACAAAAGCAGCATTTCTGTGGTTAGTGATGTTGACTTTAGCATTGTCCAAAAAAAACTCATGTTAAATTTTGGCCAAGGTTTTCCCAAAGTTATACAAATGTTTCACTTTAAGTTGGCTGGGTGATCTTATTAGTCATTGGCTGACACTGAGGTTGCAGTTTTGTTTTAAGGAAACTCAGAAAAAAGTCAGAGAACATGGACAATGGAGAGGCCAACACACAGGACACTTCCTCAATTTTAATCTTCCTTGGAATTTTAGCTTTTGCTACAAAAAAAAAAAAAAAAAAAAAAAAAACCTTCCTCATTCTTCTGATTGCAACAAAAAAACTTAGCGGGAACATCAAGGTCCCTTTCAGGCATAGGGCTTAGAAATAGCTGAAATTTCCAGGAATCACAGGCCTTCCTAGAGAATGGACCCACCCTATCTGTCTTTTTCCCATAGTTCAAACGTGGACATGACCCCCTTGCCTTCCCAAGCCACCAGGTGGGATCTACAGGTGTCTGTGATTCACATTTAAGAAATACCTAGAGAAAAAAAAAAATCTCTTTCATTAGTTCTATATTGATCATTGGATAGTAAAATGGAGACAAAGTGGTTT